TTTATTTGTTTTTAACAGCAGAATTAATATGTATCCATTTATAGATAAATATACATATAAACTGCTGTGCGGTGCTGGTCATATTTATCACGCACTAATGGGTTGCCTGTGGATGAGAATCCAAAACAAGGACCGGTGGGAGGTTGTCCTGCTCCACTTCACAGTTGCCGAGTGAAAGGAGAGTTTTATAATGACAGAACACTTTATTCGTTCCGCGCGTCATACGTCATTATGCTATTTCTGCATCATTGCACATGCGTAGTTCTTTCAGTTTCGGGGGTTCAATCCGATCGAGTGTTTACATGCACTCTCAATCGTATTGGAAAAGGAATAAACCACCACCTTCAATCCGATGAAATTCCGATCGAGCTCAATCGGATCGATTAAGGTGTTTACATGAAGGTTTTTCAGTCCGATTGAGCCGTCAATCCGATTACAAATGGATTATTTGGTTGCATGTAAACGTAGCCATTGTGACTGAATAACTGTGCAGTAGTGAGAACAGAGAAATGGCTGACAGAGGTATTGCAGTATTACCTCCTGAGCAGAGTGCATTAGGATCCCCATTCCTCACATCCTGACGCCGGAACCTCCTACACACAACAATACACATACACACAAACATATTAAAAAGCCTTAGCATAACATATTCCTCAGGTCTGACTGTGCAATACAGTGGAGTCCAATAGTCGGAGACGAGTAGTAAAAATGTCTCTATTTTGAATTTTGAATGTGGTCACAGAATTTTAGACTCCAATGTGTATGAACAAAGCCATGTAATAACCAGTATGACTGAAGCTGTACCGTTTTGTGTTTGGTAGGTAGCGTGTGCAGGTGTGTCCGTCCCAGGCGCAGTACGGATCTCGAGCCAGGCAGCACTCGGCACAAGCTTTACCGTACATACTGCAGCGGTGCAGAGGCACCTGGACAACACCTGTGTCTGAGCCAACATACAGCTGTTGCTGTGGAGAGAGAAAGAAAATCATCACATGATTTACTAACACACTACTTTCATGTGTTTCTGTAATGCTGTTTAAAAATAGCTGGATTTTTTCTGGAGACTCATTCTCACCCGTTTAGAGGAAATCTGCATACCGATAATAGATGAAGAATCCTGCAACAAGAACACAAGAGTTGGTTTTACAGATGTTTAATTTTAATTATAAATGTAATTATTAATGTATAATTATTTTCTTTAAAATGTAAAGTGAGTCATAATTGCTAAGACTAACTTAAAGGGGTCATATGATGCGATTTCAAGTTTTCCTTTCTCTTTGGAGTGTTACAAGCTCTTGGTGCATAAAGAAGATCTGTAAAGTTGCAAAGACTAAAGTCTCAAATCCAAAGAGATATTCTTTATAAAAGTTAAGAGTCAGCCACGCCTACCTAAAACGGCTCATTCTAACACGCCCCCACATATCTACGTCACTATGTGGAAATATTAGCATAATGCCGCCAAAATGTGCACGCAAAGAAAGAAGGCGTGGTTTCGGGAACGCAGTAGTGTTGATGCAGCCATGTCAGCGAGACGCTGTGTGTTTCAGTGCCAAAGCAAAAGCGCTTTATTTGGCCTTCTGGAAGTAGATGCAATTAGGAATCATTGGTTAAGATTTATTTACAACAGAACAGCACAAC